GCTGTTATTTCCTTTTCTGGCAAAATTGATTCGTTTTGGAGGTATTCTTCATCTTTCTCTTCTTTAATTGGTATCGGAGTAAATTGTATATCCGTTGGTACTTTCTTCATGTGTGAAGCATTTCGAGTTTTTTGAGAATTGTCGACGGGAGATTTTGCAGTGATCATTGTACCATTCCTTGCAGTAATTGTGTTGGGTTTGAACTCGAATGGTGCCGTAATTTTGTTATATTTTTTTCTGTTTTATCAGTACTGTATCCCCGATATTTAAACTTGGATTTTTTGCGTGGTATTTTAAATCGTGATATTTCTTTCTGTATAAGTTAGCATTTTCTTGTCTCTTTATGGCTTGATCATTGATATTTGTATCGACCCTTGTTTGGAATGAAGGTATTGTAAAACCTGTAACGCGATTAAACATGAGTGTAGATGGTGGTATTCAGGTTGTGCAATAGGGTGTGGTACGGTAAGAAAACAGGAAGTTTTATAATTGCTTTTTCCAGTCTTTCCGTTCAATGTGTGCTGCTCGTATTGTTTTAATCAGTGGTTTCATAAAGGATTCGGCTTGTGAGTTTGCTTGCGGCCAAAGCGGGGTGATTCGTTTATGTTGAATATTCAGTTTGTTCAAAAACATATTTATTTTGAATGAAGTAAAAGATTGTTCATTATCGCTGACAATCGTTTTCGGTATTCCATATACTCCAATCGTTTTCTGTAGAAAATCAATAAGGAGGTCAGCAGATGAATTATGTATAGTATCAACAACCGGAAATTTTGATGTTTGGTCTATAAGGACTACCAAATAAAATCCATTAGGTAAAGGACCAAGGTAATCTGTATTAACGGTGTCCCAAACTTCCTCTTTAATAGTTCGGCTGGTGCATTTTGTTTACCAAGGGCTTGACATATTGCACATCGTTTTATATATTCTTCTACTTTAGTGTCTAGACCAGGAAAGTAAACTTTTTCTCTAAGTAAAGATTTGGTTTTCTTATGACTATTATGAACAAGCTGTATAACCGTAATTTCCAGAGAATGTGGAAGTACAATTCGATTTGCTTTCAGAATAAGGTCTGAAGTCTGATTTATTGTAAGTTCTTGGCGTATAATACGGCAAGCAAGTAAGTCTTTTTGAAATTTTTTTAGTTCTGGCGGACAATTTGGATGTAATAGTTTATGCCAGGTATTAGTAGTAATTAACTCTGTAAGTATTTGTAGAATAGGATCGGCTTTAGTTTCTCTTTGAATATTTAGTAATGAAAGGGCTTTAGGACATGCATATTCAGCTGTAAAATTGACATATTTTTCTAGCCCTTTGTTCTCACAAGGGTCTACAGGGTGTCGACTAGAATAATCAGATATATTATTTTTTCCTTTTACGTAGTGTAGATCAAAAGAATATCTCTGTAATCGTAAAGCCATACGCTCAATGCGAAGTAGTACTGTAGCGTTTGGGTTGTTTAAAATCTTAACAATAGCCTCATGGTCGCTGTACACTTTAAAAGGGTTTCTTTAACAGGTATGTTTTGTTATGCTCGCAGGCGTATACTATAGTTAAACATTCTCTTTCGAGCGTAGAGCAGCGTTGTTGTATAGGCGATAGCGCTTTCGAATTATAAGATATTAGTTTAAAATCTTGTTTATTTGGAGTGTTTTGAACAATGACTGTCGATATGCCTACAAGACTTGCATCGGTGAAGACAGTAGTCTCTTTGTTGGGATCAAAGTATCCAACACATGAGTCCAATGTCATAGCGTTTTTTAGTTTGTCAAATGCATGATGACCCTCAAGGTTCCAGTTCCATAAGGAATCTTTATGCAAAAGGTTACTCAATGGATAATTAATTGTACTGTAGTTTAGAATGAAACGTTTGAAATAGTTCATAAGCCCGAGAAAACCTTGGAGAGCTTTAAAGTTTTCTGGTGTTGGCATGTTCTTGATATTATAAAGTTTTTCCGGATCTGGTTGCATTTCTTCTTTTGAAAATATAAATCCATAAAATTTGACTTTTTCTTTTTCAAAATTTAGAGTTAGACCTCTCTGTTTAAATCTTTCTAATACTTTATGTAATATTAAATCGTGCTCTTTTGTATTCGAAGCGAAAATTAGAACATCATCGCCAATGTTCAAAGTACCTTCTATATCTTTTAAAACTTCTCGTAAAGCGTTTTGTAGTTCCTCCTGCGCGGAGTTTACTCCAAAAGTATTTCAAAATATTTAATTTGAGTTTCGGATTGAAAAGTAGTTATTGATCTGGATTCCGGTGCAAGTTCAAGCTGGTGAAATGTCTTCATTAAATCTAGTTTCGAGAAAACGGCGGAGTCTTTTAGTTTTATAAAAACATCGCCCAGAGTTGGAGTTGGAAAACGCGTTCTTCCAATGGCTTTGTTAGCTGCTCGCATGTCTACGCAAATACTTAGGTTGCGGTCATTTTTTGGCACAATTACGATTGGACTTCGCTTCGTCTGTTATCGTTTCAATTATTCCTTCTGCTTCAAGTTTTGCAAGTTCAACTTTAACATTTTCTCCAAGTGCAAAAGAAATTCTTCTTTCTCTTTGTGCGACAATTAGTATACTTTTATTAATTTTCAATTTTACGCTAAAAACTGAATTTTTGTATGAGTTTATAAGTGGTTCTAATCGTTTTGGAGCGTTTATAAGGAGAGTATTGTTTAATTTGCTTAAGTTCTGCAAAGAATGGAAAACTTGTTGTTTACAATGTCGTCATGATTATTTTGTTCTCTTTGGCTTTTGTTTAAAAGTTTCTTATTGACGTCAGTATTTAGTTGTATTAAACCGAGTAACTTACCGTAATTTCCAGATAACAGATTTTTGTGGTGTGTTTTAACCACGTGGAATGTGGACTGACAAAATTTGGTTTGATTTTCTATCACGACATTGATCTGTCTTTCTATTTTGAGCTTTGGATTGTTATCCCCGTAAGTAATAATCTGTAAGTAATAATCTGTGTTTTAGATTTTTGTAGTCGAAGTGGTCTTTTAAGGAAGTTGTTTATCTTTTCAAATGTTTTAAAGTTTAGAATGTTTATCGAAGCTCCGGTGTCTATTAGAACGATTATTGGTATATTTTCTATGTTAATCGTTACCTCGAAGTTCTCAAGTCCGTCGTTAGATATTTGTTTAGCATTGACAGAGTACAATTCTCCTTCGTTTAACTTTGACTGTGGATTTTCAGATTCATTGATATTTTTGTAAATTGTATTTAATGGTTTTGTATAACCTTGTTCATTTCTTTTGTATTTCTCTTTATGTATTCTTCTATTCTGTTTGTTTTGTTTTCTAGTTTTACAGACTGTTGCAAAATGTCCGATTTTCCCGCAGGAGTGGCAAGATTTCACCAAAGCTAAACATATATTCGTGTGTGAAAATTCGTTTCCACATCGGTAGCAAGTTCTTTTTAGCGACTTAGTTTCTGTCTCAAGTGGCGCTTGACTGGTTTGCGGAAATTTTGTTTTCTTTACTGTATTTACTTCTTTTTGTTTTATCGTTTCTTTCTCAAGTTCTTCTACTTGATGTTCCATCAGCTTAAATGTTTTGGCAGTAGTTAACAAGCCCTGTAGAGTTTTGTTAGGATTTTGGAAAGCTTCGACAGCTTGTTGGTATGTGATTAGCGTATCTTGAGGTATAATGTTTTCATAAATTTCGTGTTATCTCCAATTAAAGTTAGAAGTAACGAAAGTTTTTGTTTATTGTCTGTAATTACATGTGAATCGCAAAGTAGCTCAAATCGTTTAATGTATCGTTTCCAGCATGAAAATAACTTACTTACTTCTTCAGTAAATGAAAACGGTGGAAAGTTTGGAAAATTAAGGTTTTTTATAGCCATGGATAAACACGCTTTTTACTAAAATCTTCGTTAATTTTTTTTTTTTTAATTTTAATTTTTTTTTCTTTTATCTTCGTCGCCAATTTAATGATAAACTACAACATTTCTTATCGCTTATTTTCTATATAATGCCTTCATAAAGTTACAATAAAGTAAATATAGTTTTAATTAAGATCTCCATCTCGAAGCACATTCTTACAAAAACCAAAAACAAGTTTGATAAAAATTGTTGATTGCATCATCAAATTTACTGTTTTTGTTAGTTTTTAATCAAGAAAAATTGGAAATGCGTCGAAGGAGTAAGGATTTTTTTATGAGTATAAAATGTATTTGTAGTCTTATTCATCCTGATACAATAGAAATTGCCCAGAAAGTATTGCAAAGAAACTGTTAACTCGCTCATCCTAAAAGTGTTTTGTTGTTAGCAATCAAAGATGAAGACAAGAAAAAAGTGGTAGATGCAGTAAAGAAAATTATTTTATGTAGAAAAGAAAAGAATACCAATGGGGTACGTGTTTTTTCTCTACAAATGATTTCTTTCAACTTCTATGCTTCCTCATACTTAGAAATGATCATCTGGTCAAATGTTGATATCTCTCCTCCAATTTATTTGAAGTGAATAATAAAGAACTCTTAATGATACAAATGCCACTCAGTTCCTAATATTCAATGCCATTATCAAAATGTTGAACGTCTAATCTAAGATGTATCTAGAGTATCCAAGATTGTCACAACCTATGAAAAACGTCATGAAAAGTTTTTTTCCGCTTCAAACTCGAAACTTAAATATCCAAAAATTGACAGTAAAAAGGACTTTATATAAGGATTTTGCATTTACAGATTTGTTTTTAGTATAAAAATGTAGATTTTATTCTTTACTCGGAGTTTTTACTTATTTTCAGATGATATTTAGGCGAATAACAGTGTATGCCTATATAATATAGTCAAAAGTTGTCTCCTTTAAGCTAACTTGAAAAAAGCCATTATTTTTCAGGTGTTTATGTTATATTCTTAATACATGGTGCAGCAACTTTTCCACTAGTAACGATGCAAAAATCAGAAAATTAAAAATATGACCTACCCTACTATATATGTTAATAAACCATTTAGTATGTTGGATTCAGATAAGCAATGAACGTTTTATTTAATTATAGGTACATTTTTTATTTGGAAGATATTAAAAAAATCTGGAATGATATCATTACAAAACGATTCGTATTTAATAATTCATGTTGATGGATTTTATCAAATAAATGCTCAGGTATAGTTTATCTTTTTAATATGTTTTGCATTAAAAAAAACTTATTTTTATGTTGAGTTCAATGTGTGTATACATATACTTAACAAAATAATTATTATAACACTAAATAAAAACATAATTAACTTATTGTTTCTTCTTAAATAAATTTAATACTAAACTAATAACCAAAAACCATTTTTTCTGGTTTTAAATGGTTGTAAATTTTTTAATTATTGGATATTCGTTTTTTATTTTTTTTGTTACTAGTAAAAGAAACAAATGGCAACATAAAAATTGCAATAGATTGGAATAGTCGCATCCAGTTGTCGCATACGCTATAAGGGATCGTCCATAAATTACGTCACGCATTTTTTGACAGATTTTGACCTCCCCCCTCCCCCTCGTCACAAAATCGTAACACTTAAGAAGCAAGTTTTGTATGAGTCGTCACAAAACTACCAACCCCCTCCCCCTTATAGCGTGACGTAATTTATGGACGACCCCTAAGCTGAGATTTTATTATTCCACAATGCATTTTGTTGCATAACTTATTTTTTTTTACGATATCAATTTTTTACATTAAAATAAAATAGAGAGTTTACAAAAATTAATACAAAGACTTTTACAAAATCAATTAGCACTGTAAGGTTTTCCCAATATTTAATATTATTAAAAAATTTCCGTAGTAAAGTTTTAAACATTAATAAGCTTTAAATAATATTAAGGAGATGAAATTGTTACAAATAGATATAATTGTTTTCTAATGAAATATAATTTTTTTAAAATTATATTTAAAAGAAGTAGAAGCCAAGTTATTAGAAAAATTGATATTAGGTATATTTATTATATTCCATATATATGGTCTACAATAAGACACACATGACCATATTTATTTTGGCAAAAAGGAGCGTTGAGATAATTATCTTCAAGTTCATTTAACTCAAGTTAACTCAGAAAGTTCTATGTTTGAATCACTTGGATTATGGAAATATTAAAAAGAAAATTTATATTTGTTATTAAAGTGGTGTCCATTTATATTTATGCTCCAAGCATCGTGGATCAGCATTTGGACCAGACTGCAGAGCATCGCAGAGGAACATTTAAATGAGATAAAACGTTTAAACATTAAAACTTATCTTTGATGCCGGCCAGAGCCGGCATCAAACCTCGCGAGGTTCAATGGAACTCTTAGTTCTTATCCAGAACTCAAAACTAACTAAAAATAGCGATTTATCATCTATGCATGAAATATTATTTGATAATTTTGTTTCTATGGTTGTAAAATATTTGTTCAATTTGATTGAAACATCATTTGAATCATTAAAATTTATTTTCCAATATTTGTTGTTTGTGACAGAGTGGTGGCATTAGTTTTTATTTTCTTGTGATTATTTTCATTATTTGCTAGACCTTATATACTCAGAATAGCATTTCTTTCAGCATTTTTGCGAAGCGATTTGAATATGCTTTTGCAGGTTTGGTAATTTATTTTATGCTTAGCGCCCAAATATTTGAAATTTGTTTTATATTTTTTGCGCCAAAAGTTATTGAGCTAATTTAAAAAATAATTAAAGAAAAAATAATGAGTATTAGTATGATTTTTTTATAATTATCTTAGAGACCTGTAAAAAAGTGTTTTTTGAAAAATAAGCTATTTTACCATATTTTTTAGTGATAAACTACATGATTTTTATATATTGTTTATAGATGCAGCTTGATTATAGACGAAAAGTGAGTTTAACCAGCTTTCATCTTCGTAAAAATGATGAAGTCATAGCATCAACAAGATGGAGTTCTAGTTCTGATACAGGAGGAATTAATATACTTATATATGCAAAAAATGGTGATCGTTTATCACTTTACTCTCCTTGGATGAACGCTCAATGGTTCATTTCAAACAAAGTGACATTTTTCTCTGCTCATTATTTAGGATCTCTCTGATTTATATTATTTACCACGTGTTTCATACGATTTTCACAATATGATTTATAATATAATAATCCCGTTTAATATTTTATAGGAGTCCAAATAAGGAATTTTTTAAAACTTTTAAAAATTTTTATATGCAATTTAATGTTGTAATGTATTTCTATATGTAATATGTATATATATATGTACGTATTTCTACATGTAATAATGTGTCTTCTTTTTATGTGATAATATATTTTTCTATATGTAATGTAACATAGCTTTAATAATTTCAAGCAAGCTATCCAATATTTGCATATTGACACTTGCTTTTTGCTTTGTATGTATATTTTGTGTGTTTTTGCTTTGTTTGTATACTTTGTGTGTTTTTCCTTTCTTTGTATATTTTATGTGTTCTTTAATATAGTCGCTATAGTTTTATGTAGCAATTAACAAATCGCGTGGTTATAATTATTTTGTTGATGTGGTTGATTTTGTGGTTGAATTATTTTATGTGTTCTTTAATATAGTCGCTATAGTTTTATGTAGCAATTAACAAATCGCAAGATTAGAATTATTTTGCTCTATCTCCACTTTTTGAAAAAATTGAGTTATTGATTGTGTCATAATTTTTTTCTACTATATTAAAACTTTAAGTTAAAATCAAAAAAGTTTCGGGAAAAACATAAGTAACAAAAATCTTTTTATATGTTGTCTCTTAAAGTTTTTATTATTTAAATCGTTTTATCTCAAAACTCAAAAACGTGGAGAATAAAATAATTCTAACCTCGCAAAATACAACTTTATAATATATATTTTTATAAATATATTATATAAAAAGTATGTTTAAATATATTTTTTAGTTAAAACAATAAATTTAATACATGTTCATAAAGTTAGACGTTGTTTGTTCATAATGTAAATATTCATTTTAATTTAGATTGTAACAAGAGGTGAAAAAAATAATTACAAGATTACTTGAAACTTTTTTCTAAACAGTGGTGGGTTGAAGTTTAGTGTCATAAAGGAAAGGGGAGTGGGCATGGAGATTGAGTACGGGGCTACTTGGGTTAAGGGTAAGGGGGTGACACATTGCACCTAAAAAAGGGTAATTTTCAAGGATCACACTTATGACATTTTTTTTAGTAATTCTTGTCTTTTATCAAATGTACTCACGCACTATCATACCCCTCTTACTTATCTTACTTATCTTTTTTTTTTTAATTTACAGTTACCCAGCAAACATGTCAGCGTTGAATCAACGTTAAAAACCGGTTGCAAAAGATGTTGCGGAAACGTTGACAAAGTAATCGATTTTGCAAAGATATGTAAAGGTGAGTTTCCACTCATCCGTTTTTTTACGGGAACGGGAAAGGGACGGGAAAAATAATCACGTGGGCATGCGTAGTATAAGTTTTTATATGTCCGAAGGAAAACTACGCACGCTCACGTGATTATTTTTCCCGTTCCCGTGAAAAAACGGATGAGTGGAAACTCACCTTTACGTTGTTAAAGAGACGTTTATTAAACGTCGTAGCGTAACGTTGAAAAATTGTTCCTAAAAGACGTTACGAAAATGTCGCAACTAAACGTTGAAAAAGCGTTACTTAAAAAGCGTTGCATAGACGTCGCAACTTAACGTTGAAAAAACGTTACTTGAAAAGCGTTACTTTAACGTTGTTAAAGCAGCTGATTTTGCAAGGATTTGTAACGTCGGTAATAAAACGTCGATTTAACGTGACTCAAAGACGTCGAGTAAAGCTTGAAATATAACTTTAAATCAACGCTCAAATACGCTGGAAAAAATATCTCAAAATATTATTAAACGTGATTAAACTTGGCTATAATGTATATTGAATTTGCAAATAAAACAAAGTTTTATGTTGAACTCTGCACTTGCAATATTTCTAAAGTCGATTTTTAATACAAATAGTAATACACAATGAAAAACATAAAAAATATACAATTTATTTATATAAAATTTACAATTTATAGATAAAAATATAAACATCTTTTTTAAGATTTATGTGTGAGTGAATTTACAGGATTTACGTGTGTGAGTAAAATTAATGTGTGTGAGTGGATTTACAGGATATCGTATCGATAAGCCAGGATATCATTGAAATACAGAATCTAAATCAAAAAATAAAACTTCATTATCAATCTGAAAGCAAATGTTTAAAAAGTTTTATTGAATTTGTATGATCATTATTAAATTCAAAGTAAATATATATATATATATATATATATATATATATATATATATATATATATATATATATATATATATATATATATATATATATATATATATATATATATATATATATATATATATATATATATATAATTATATAATAATATAAGATTGCATATATATATATAAATATATAATTATATAATAATATATTGTGATCCTCGTAATAGCATAAAATAAGTAATTGTTTTTAAAAACAGCAAGACGTTTTTTATTCTTGAAATGTTTTGTAGTAAACAACTGGGGTTGATATTTGACTGGGGCCGGGGCCAGGTTTGATAAAATATATCCGGGGCCAGGGCCGGGTTTGAGACCAGGCTGCATAAACATTTATACATCCTAAAGTATATTTTTTAAATTTAAAATTCATGCTATATTTTATACATATATGCATATATGAACATCATTGTGATCAACATGATCATCATTATCATCAGAGCCATCATCATCATCATCATCATCATTATCATCATCATCATCATCATCATCATCATCATCATCATCATCATCATCATCATCAGTATATGGTTCTCTGTTCGTTATTGCAACAAGGTCATCGGCTCACAGGGTTTTAGATTATTGCCGTGTCGCTCAGTATTTTTAAAATTTTTTTTTAGTATTACCTATAAGAAAGATCTAAACTTTTTAAATATGTTGTTTTTGAAAAAAAATTTGAGCAAAAACTTTAAATATAAGAGCCGATATAAAAAATGCGTTGCATTACCGAATGCATCGAAAAAGAGGGTTTATGCATGGGGATCATAAAAATGTCATTTGGGTATGTTTTTTTTATTCATTTTTTTCAAATCAAGCTATAAACTTAATAAATCCACATTTCTAAATTTTGACATTTTTCATATCATCATGGCGTTTTTAAGTTTCTGAGTTCAAGTAAACTTTATATAATATATTAGTTAACAAATCTCGTACTTGGGTTTTCAAAAAAAAAGTTTAACAAAAATTTTTTATATACGTTTTTAAGAAAATTTTTTCTGCTGGATATAATATTTACTAAATCGAATGTCTAAAAAGTATAAACTTTGCTTTTGAAACCAAAAAGATTTTTTGGAAATTTAGTTTTAACTGTGAGGTGTTGCATTACCATTACTTACATCAAGCAGTTATGTCACCTACATATAATGCAGATTTAATTAATGGTAATATCTTAGATTTAATTTTAACAGAAACACCTGAACGTATAAATAAAATCCATCATAACCCAACTCTAGGCAACACTAGAAATGGACACCATATATTTAGCTGGAAATATTTTTTAAAAAACACTACTAAAAAGGAAATGTCAAACTATGGGAAATCTGGATTTAACTATAAACTTGGTAATTACACAGTCATAAATAAAGCTATCAATGAAAATGATTGGGAAAGTCTTTTCGGAAAAAATAGTATTAATGAGTGCTATGAAATATTCTTAAATATCTATGATAAATTATGCAACAAATATATTCTTAAAAAAAAAAATACTTCAATAAACAACCACAGCCCAAACCTTGGATTGATAGAGAAGCAAAAAAAGCAATAAGAACTAAAACAAGTTTATGGCACAAACTATTATCTAATGGTTTTAAATGTGACCAGCTGAAAGTCCAATATATTTTAATCAACAAAACAATAAAAAATCTTATTAAAACAAAAAGAATAAATTATGAAAAAAAAACAGCTGACTCATCGAAAGAAAATCCAAAACTGTTTTATGCATATGTTAATTCAAACAGAAAAATAAAATTAGGCATTAATATAATAACAGATAAAAATGGTTCTTTGCAAACAAATCGTGATGATATTGCTAATATCCTCAATAAAAACTTTCACTCAGTATTTGTTATAGAAGATCCAACAATTTTTCCTAATATTGCATTAAAACAAGCAAGATTTTAAAATTAGATATAGACTCAATAATAACTTAAGGCATCGTTAGAATTAAACTAAGTGAACTAAATGTCAATAAAGCATTAGGAGCAGATGGTGTAAGTTCATATGCGTTAAAAAAATGTCAAAATAGTTTTTGCAAACCTCTAGAGTTACTATTCAAAAGATCCTTACAAGAAGAACAAATTCCACTCATATGGAAAATGGCTAATGTAACACCACTACACAAGAATGGAGATAAAAATGATCCTGCAAACTATAGACCAATTTCATTAACGTCAATACCATGCAAAATTCTAGAGTCAATCTTAGGTAACAAAATAATGGATTACATGTTAGCAAACAATTTATTAAATAGTAACCAACATGGTTTTCAAAAGAACAAAAGCTGTACTACTAATCTACTAGAAACACAAGATATTTTACTTTATGCTATTGAGAATGACTGGTGTGTTGATGTGTTGTATACAGATTTCTCAAAAGCTTTTGATAAAGTACCTCATATGCGATTGATGTCAAAGTTAATATCATATGGTATAGTTAGAGTAATTCTAAATTGGATAGAAGCCTATTTACATAATAGAAAGCAACGAGTAATTTTAGGGGGTTGTGTATCAAAATGGCTAACAGTTGAGAGTGGAGTTCCACAAGGTTCTGTCCTTGGGCCTCTTCTGTTTCTTATTTTTATAAACGATCTGCCAGACACATTAAAAAATAATATTAATTGTATGCAGATGATAGCAAAATTATAAATATTTTTAAATCAGATGAAGATATCCGTATAAACAAATTACAACTAGATATTGATAATATTATGAAATAGTCGTCACTATGGTTAATGAAATTTAACTATGAAAAGTGTAAAATTATGCACATTGTTTTTAAAAATCTTTGTATAACTTATTCAATGTTCGACGCTGAAACTCAACAGAATAATATATTAGCAGC